CTCCAACATGCCACCTCTCCCCAGGGTTCTTTATCCTAGCTCCAGTGGTGCAGGGAAAGTTCAGCATGTCTAATGGTAAATATATGGTTAGCTGGGAAATAAAAAGCCTGTTTTCCTTGTCAAAAGGTAGCCTTCTCCTCCTTTCCAGGTTCCTTTGTTTATTGATGGATTTGAGGTGAGGTGATATGGAACTAGCTGCATTGGTTCATTGTGCTGGTGGCTTCAGACATTAAACTGGAAGTTTTCTGAATTTAAGATATCAGGTAGATCTTTGAGGCCAATTCTGGGAAAAGAGGATCCTACCAAGCACTTAATATCACTGTTACTCTTATATTCTGGGTAAGGCTCTATACCTTTAGGTACAAACTAATTATTAAAAAAAATCTTTATATAGAATACTGGACCTTTAAATGTCATTCAGAGGCTATTCTTACCTTTCTGGGTTTTCTTCCATGTGTTATTTCAGTGATAGCTGTAGTTTCACCCTCATACCTCCCATTGCCATTTTTGTATCTTGAATTTATCACAAGCCCAATGTACCTCAGTGGTGCTTATATTCTGATTATTTTAAAGGACCCTAGTTGAGCCACCATACAGGTAACCAATTTACTGAATTTTTTTTAACTCAATAGGGACAAAAAACTTAAAAATGATTCCCCCCACCAATGCCTACTGGTGGTACTTTACAAACTCCTTTCCCTGTTATGGGATGGGGAGACTTAATAACAGATTGGTTCAATTCCATACCCTTTTCAGTTATTTTTGATTTTGGAAGAGTTTCATTCTAATTGCTTGAGACTCAATACTGTTCATTTAAAAATGAACTCAAAGTTGTGTAAAAATTCTTCATATCACATAAACAAGTGTAAGTGCTGATCAGTCTTATGAATAAAACAAGCAAAGAGGTGAGCTAGAGATTGACACAGTTAAGATTGGGTAGTCGAGAAAGGCCTTTTTGTGGGACTGAGACATGTAGGATGTTAAGAAACTGTATGAAGAGTGGACAGTATCTCAGGAGGAAGACAAAGTGCAAACGCTATGAGAAAAAAAAAATGCCTTGGCACATCCCAGGAACAGATAAAACGACCATCGTGGCTGGAGCATAGTCAGCAAGGAGGAGAGCTTTGTGAAATAAGATCAAAGAGGGACCTGGGGGCTCCATCTACAGGCCTTTGAAAGTCTAATGACTTGAAATTAGGTAGCGTGATGCCTCCAGCTTAGTTCATTTTACTTAGGATTGTACTGGCAATGCGGGGTGTTTTTTGCTTCAATATGTCCTTTAAAGTAGTTTTTTCCAATTCTATGAAGAAAGTCATTGGTAGCTTGATGGGGATGGCATTGAATCTATAGATTACCTAGGGCAGTATGGCCATTTTCACAGTATTGATTCTTCCTATCTGTGAGCATGAATGTTCTTCCATTTATTTGTATCCTCTTTTATTTCGTTGAGCAGTGGTTTGTAGTTCTTGAAGAGGTCCCTCAAATCCCTTGTAAGTTGGATTTCTAGGTATTTTATTCTCTTTGTAGCAATTCTGAATGGGAGTTCACTCATGATTTGGCTCTCCGTTTGTCTGTTATTTGTATATAGGAATGCTTGTGATTTTTGCACATTGATTTTATATCCTGACACTTTGCTGAAGTTGCTTATCAGCTTAAGGAGATTTTGGGCTGAGATGATGGGGTTTTCTAAATGTACAATCATGTCATCTGCAAACAGGGACAATTTGACTTCTTCTTTTCCGAATTGAATACCCTTTATTTCCTTCTCTTGCCTGATTGCCCTGGCCAGAACTTGCAACACTATGTTGAAAAGAAGTAGTGAGAGAGGGCATCCCTGTCATTGTGCCAGTTTTAAAAGGGAATGCTCCCAGTTTTTGCCCATTCAGTATGATATTGGCTGTGGGTTTGTCATAAATAGTTCTTGTTATTTTGAGATACGTTCCATCAATATCGAATTTATTGAGCGTTTTTAGCATGAAGGGGTGTTGAATTTTGTTGAAGACGTTTTCTGCATCTATTGAGATAATCATGTAGTTTTTGTCTTTGGTTCTGTTTATGTGATGGATTACATTTGTTGATTTGCATATGTTGAACCAGCCTTACATCCCAGAGATGAAGTCCACTTGATCATGGTGGATAAACTTTTTGATGTGCTGCTGGATTCGGTTTGCCAGTATTTTATTGAGGATTTTTGCACCGATGTTCATCAAGGATATTTGTCTAAAATTTTCTTTTTTTGTTGTGTCTCTGCCACGCTTTGGTATCAGGATGATGGCTGGCCTCATAAAACGAATTAGGGAGGATTCCCTCTTTTTCTATTGATTGGAATACTTTCAGAAGGAATGGTACCAGCTCCTCTTCGTACCTCTGGTAGAATTCGGCTGT